CCTCCTCTATTCCTCTATTCCACAGTCTCCATCCAAAAAATCACCCAGTTGATTAACAGCCCCACCTGATTCACAAGCTTGTACTTCAAATACCAACTGCCTATTTCTATGGCTCAAACACACCCCTAAATGACAAATGTCTATGATCCCTGAGATATTCCTGAAAGGTGACACCATCCAGGAACACTGACAGTTTTCCAAGATGCATCCCCAAATGCTGTAATAAACTCGCTCAAAAGTGATAGCTTGGAGGGCCACACTCTCTTCGGGAGCCCATACTCTTGTGGTGGTTGGATTACCAGGGTCACATCCTATGCATGTCGGCATGTGCACACCCCAAGCCACATGGCAAATGTCAGAGGTTGCTCTAGAGGTCAATAATTTAACTAGAACCTTGCCTTGGATGACATACAACAGGTGGCATCCTCAGAGGTTTCCTTGTGGCTTTAAGGACTCCTTGGTGCTTGAACACCTACCAGCACTCAGTGAACACAGGAGGAATGTGGCGCTGGGATTCGCTAGGTCGAGTCAGGGAGAATTTCTCTCTCCCACTGAGGGTGTAAATCTCTTTTGCTTGTCATTTAATCCCCAATAAAGAGAACTTACTGGTTATTCCTCATTGTCATTTTGGTGTAGATTTAAATTTTAACGACCAGAAGTCCCGAATCCTTCTCCCCCACTTTTAAAAGAGGAGAAAGGGCCACTTAGGAAGGTGTTAGGTCATCTCAGGCCAGGATGGCCATGATGCTGCTCATCGGAAGGTGTCCACTAGGTGAACATCAGCAAGCTCTGAAGGGGACTGAGATGGAAGCCCGCCTCCACCACTCCTAGCTTTAGGACTTTAGGCAAGTCACTTGGCCTCTCTGAGCCTCCATTTCTTTATCTGTGAAAAGGGACAGGAATACCTGCCCTCTAACCTCAAATGAGACATCACTTAGAGTAGAGCAGGTAAACTGCAAAGCATTATGCACATGTGCTGTGATGTTGAGGATAGCAGGAGCTCCTGTCCTCAGAGTGGCACAGGTGACAGCACGAGGCGATGTCTGCACTACCTGAACACAGGAAGCTGGTGTCTTCCCTGTGGCCACATTCATGGTGGAACCACCTGCTGTGAGGGCAGTTGACAGGTAGGCCTTCCACCCAGGGCAGTACACTGGGCCCAAGAGAATGTTCCCTGAGCCCTGACCAAAGCGGGCCCTGCCAAGGGCCAACGCTGAATGGCCACAGCCCAGCTGCCACAAGATGACGTCTGCGTCCCAGCTGTCATCACACATGGTGCCCCAGTA